ACTTTCTCATACACAGACCTACTCATACCCAGACTTACTCATACACAGACTTACTCATACACAGACTTACTCATACTCAGGCATACTCATACTCAGACCTACTCATACTCAGACTTACTCAACACACATCAGATTTGGAGGATGTCTCAGGCGGGGCGCTCGTTTCAGCACACCTAAGGGGAGCCGCCAGGGGTGATTGCACGGGTTCGTTCGCGGCCATTTTGTGGGGATGTCTCAGGCGGTTTGCCTGTTTCTGGGCTCAACATCCTTCGCTTTCGGAGCAGATTTGGAGGATGTCTCGAGCGAGGCGCTCATTTTCACCCCCCAGGTGGGCCAGATTTTGAGGATGCCTCGATCGGTTTGCTTGTTTTGGTGGCCAGGCTCGTGGCCCTAAGGGGAGCCGCCAGGGGTGATTGCACGGGCTCGTTCGCGGCCATTTTGTGGGGATGTCTCAGGCGGTTTGCCTGTTTCTGGGCTCAACATCCTTCGCTTTCGGAGCAGATTTGGAGGATGTCTCGAGCGAGGCGCTCATTTTCACCCCCCAGGTGGGCCAGATTTTGAGGATGTCTCGATCGGTTTGCTTGTTTTGGTGGCCAGGCTCGTGGCCCTAAGGGGAGCCGCCAGGGGTGGTTGCACGGGTTCGTTCGCGGCCATTTTGTGGGGATGTCTCAGGCGGTTTGCTTGTTTCTGGGCTCAACATCCTTCGCTTTCGGAGCAGATTTGGAGGATGTCTCGAGCGAGGCGCTCATTTTCACCCCCCAGGTGGGCCAGATTTTGAAGATGTCTCGATCGGTTTGCTTGTTTTGGTGGCCAGGCTCGTGGCCCCTAAGGGGAGCCGCCAGGGGTGGTTGCACGGGCTCGTTCGCGGCCATTTTGTGGGGATGTCTCAGGCGGTTTGCTTGTTTCTGTGCCCAACATCCTTCGCTTTCGGAGCAGATTTGGAGGATGTCTCGAGCGAGGCGCTCATTTTCACCCCCCAGGTGGGCCAGATTTTGAGGATGTCTCGATCGGTTTGCTTGTTTTGGTGGCCAGGCTCGTGGGCGCAGATTCTTCTCAGGATGCCACAGGAGGCTCCAACAGGCTCCAGGAGGCCCCAGGAGACCACATGAGGTCCCAGGAGGCATCAGGAGGCCACAGAAAGACTCAAGAGGCCACAGGATGTCCCAAGAGGCTCCAGGAGGCCCCAGGAAGCTCCAGAAGGCCTCAGGAAACCACAGGAGGCCCCAGGAGGCAACAGGAAGCGCCAGGAGGCCTCGGAAGGCAACAGGAGGCCCCGAGAGGCCCCAGGAGCAGGAGGCCTCAGAAGGCAACAGGAGTGGCTCCAATCCCATGTGTTTTACGTATGCTCCTATCGATTGGGCCTCACCTGGAGCACGATTCTTTGATGTTCTACGTATGTTTCTATAGATGGTCCTTCTCCTGTGTACACAATCCTAAATGTTTTACTCATGTTCCTATATATTGGGCCTCTCCTGGGGCACGAGTCCTTGGTGTTTTACGCGTGTTCCTATAGATTGCCCTTCTCCTGCGGCTCTAATCCGCAATGTTTTATGTACGTCTGTTGCTATAGATTGCGCCTCTCCTGGGGCACGAAACCTTCCTAGGAGGTCCCAGGAGGTCCCAAGAGGCTCCTGGAGACCCCAGGAAGCCCCAGTAGGTTTCAGGAGGCCCCAGGAGGCCCCAGGCTCATGCACAGAGACGCGCTCGTACTACTGAGGCTCATTCACACTCAAATTCATTCGCAGTTAGATTGATGTCCAGACCGTCACAACTGAAGCCCGTTAATATTCGAAAGCTCTTGCGCCTAGACATTCACGGCGGACAGGTCCATGCGAGTAGATGCACATATGGGGAGCTCCACGCAGTGAATAATTCTCAAAAATTCCCAGATAGAATCCTTCAAGAATCCTCGGGGCTCCTCAGGGTTCTTCGGGTGCACCCGGGACTTCTGCAGGCACCATCTTTTCAGGTATCGTCAGAGATCCTTAGGATATTGTTTCCGCAGGGCTTCCCCCATATTGCTGAGGTTGATTCCAGGTTCCTCAAGAAACCTCAAGATGACTCAGGTTTCCTCGAGTTCCCTTCGGACTCTGTAGAACTCCTCTACAGCCTCGGGCAAGTTTTCTCCGAACGCCGCCACACACGCCCACGCTGCTGCGCAGCGTGTTGGGAACATCCACGCCCATGCCGCCTGCCATTTTGTAACGCATTCGTGGCGCATGTGGACTACAATGGGTATTCGTGACACCGTGCCATGAATTCGGTTGTACACGACCACCACGACGTGTTTTACTTTGCCGTTCATAGAAAAAGACGTGACGCAGCCCACTGTGCGTTCATACCGCACGGCGATAATTACCCAACCGTGCAGACTTTTGATGTTTTCTCTTGTGCAGTATGCCAGCTCGAAACACCACCACACGTTGTGAGGACGTCCCGAACGAAATGGAACCTGACATCGTCTCAAGCGAAACTGGGCCGAAACCAAACAATGACTCCGACGGTAAAACCCCGCATGCTAATCTGAACAGTTTGGTTGGGGATATCCTCCTGCTCCCTCCTCCTTCCCCCTCCTGCCTTCTCCTTCTCCTCCCGCATCATCCTCGTGCTTCCTCGTCCTCCTGCCTCCTCCTCGTCGTCCTCCTCCCCCTCCTCGTCCTTCTTCCTTCTCCTCCACATCCTCCTTCTTCTCCCTCTCCATCCCATCTGTTCTACTCCTGCACCTCTCCTTCCCTCTGACCGGGGCAGGCATGCCGATTTTCCTCGGCGCCGCCGCCGCCACGGCCGGCATGCGCGCGTTCTCCGATGGCCGGATCGCGAAGCCGTTGGGGCAACTCCGTGGGCCAGGCCGTTGGGGGAACCCCGTTGGCCGCTGGGGCGCGGGAGCAAGCCGTCGGGACAACCCCGCGGGCCTCGAGCTGGGCGCCGTCGCGCTCGGGCGAGAGGCAGCGCGAAACCTAGCTCTGCCGCGAGCTCCGCCTCGGCCCTGGAACTCGCAGCCATCTTGTCGAACATGGAGGTGGGGACTGCAGGAGGGGCTCCCGCCCGAGACTTCCTCGCGAATCACTCGCAGACGAGTTCAGGCCGGAGGAATCTAGAAATGACGACAGGATTCGGATGGCCCGCTCGGATTCGAACATGAAGGTGGGACCCCACAGGAGGGGATCCCGCTTGAGCCTTCCGCGCGTTTCACTCAAAGACGACACACACACCCGCTCCAAGTCTTCTCCGGATTTACACCTGGGGAGCCCAAACTTGACGGCAATAACAAAGTTCAAGATGGTAAGATGACATCAAGATGCCGCAATTATTCCCCGTATGCCCCGTGAGCCCTCCCTCACAAGAATGCCCCCCCGACCCCCGAAGTGAGGACAGTTATAGTTTCAGACGGCCCGCTCGGATGCAAACATGGAGGTGGGGACTCAATAGGGAGGGCCTCCCGCCCGAGACTTCCTCGCGAATCACTCGCAGACGAGTTCAGGCCTGAAGGATATAGAAATGATGACAACTACAGGATTCGGATGGCCCGCTCGGATTCGAACATGGAAATGGGGACACCCAGAGGGAGATGTTCCGGCTCGAGCCTTCCTCGCGATTCGCTCAAAGATGACGCCCCCTCTCCAGATTTCCTCCAGACTCAGGCCTGGGGAGCCCAACATGGACGACAGTAACAAGGTTCAAGATGGCATGATGGCGTCAAAATGCCACAATTATTCTCCGTATGCCCCAGGAGCCCTCCCTCACAAGAAGGCCCCCCAAACCCCCAAAGTGAGGACAATCATAGTTTCAGACGGCCAGCTCGGATTCGAACATGGAAGTGGGGACACCCAGAGGGAGATGTTCTGGCTCGAGCCTCCCTCGCGATTCGCTCAAAGACGACGCCCCCTCTCCAGATTTTCTCCAGATTCAGGCCTGGGGAGACCAACATTGACGACAGTAACAAGGTTCAAGATGGTATGATGGCATCGCGATGCCACAATTATTCCCCGTATGCCCCGGGAGCCTTCCTCACAAGAAGGCCCTCAAGACCACAAAAATTGAGGACAGTCATAGTTTCAGACGGCCCGCTCGGATTCGAACATGGAAGTGGGGACACCCAGAGGGAGATGTTCTGGCTCGAGCCTCCCTCGCGATTCGCTCAAAGACTACGCCCCCTCTCCAGATTTTCTCCAGATTCAGGCCTGGGGAGCCCAACATGGACGACAGTAACAAGGTTCAAGATGGTATGATGGCATCAAAATGCCACAATTATTCCCCGTATGCCCCGGGAGCCCTCCCTCACAAGAAGGCCCCCAAGATCCCCAACGTTCCACGAAGAGGCTCCCACGAAGCCGAGAGCAGCAACCAAAAAGGCGCCCAAGAGGTCGCCCCCCAAAAGCCTCCAAGAGGCCCCAGAGAAACCCAACAACAGATGCGGAGGAGGAGGAGGACGAATCAGCAGCAACCGCGCGCAGTCAGCACGAAGGGAAGCGGCAAACGCCTTATGTCGGAAACTCTGACCCCAAAAATGTTTCATCCACTTCCGCCACCTTCTGAGCATGGACCGACCGACCTGGCATTCCTGTAGTCCTACCACGACATGTTCTTAGAACCCAAAAACGTTCTGAGCACAAAAAGCAATGTTCTTAGAACACAAACCCGATGTGTCAAAACAAAACAGACTCCGCCAGAAATGTTCTAAGAACATTTCGTGACAACCATAAAAAGGTTCCTAGAACATTTCCTGGTAGGGCTATAGGCACGCCAAGACGCTTCGCCACTGCTTGAACCTTCCGCCAGCCTTCCGCCGCTTCCTTCCACCGGCGGAGGCGGCCTCGTTTTTACTTCTGCCGCCCTCCCATCGCCCTGCCGCCGCCTGCCGCGGCGGAAGAGATGACAACTCCTTCGATCCTCGAAAGCAAGGCCCTTCTTGGCACACCCCAGGGGACGCATCAAGAAATCGGAAGCCGCGCATCTCCTCGTCTGCATGTCGTGGGAACGGCGCAAGCCTCTCACATCACAGCAAAGCCTATGGTGAGCTTGTGCGCGACGAAGAAGACTGCGAACCACTCGTTGACAAACTCTGAGAGCATCCTGCAGGGTTCTGGGAAGTCTGCCAATGTCATCTCGAAGGTGGTCAGAAGGGCCCTGGAAAACGAGCCCCAATATTCGAACACAATCCTCTGCTCTTCCACGGGGTAGTCTTTGTTGAAATACCAAGTGGCCAGAACAGAATTGACACAGAGCGCGACGACGACCTGGAAAAGACTAAGCAAACAGCAAGACCACGCCAACGAAGAGAGACTGCCACGGATGGCGGTAGTCATCAAATACATCGAATCGAAGCCGTGGATCCTCTTTGCCAACTTGAGCAGGCGGAAGAGGCGGACCATTCGCCCCATGCGAAGCACCGAGGTATCAAGAGGAATCACGCTTTGGCCCACTACCTCAGTGTACCAAAAGACAGTAACTACAAGATCAATAACGTTCCAGCTGTCTTGGCAGAATTCGAGACGATACGCAACTCCTTTCAGTAACACCTCGATCGTTAACATGACCCCGCACCAATAATCCATGACCTCGAAGAGGGTGTCCGCGCCAGGCCAGGTATCCTTGCTGTTCGTGCTGTACCATCGGTACCCGAGGTCATGGCCAAGCTGGAAACTTTGGTACTGGACCTCCAGCGACGCGAACACGGTATTGACGATTACGACTATAGCCGAGAAAACCTCAAACTGGTTGCTCTTGACAAGCAATCGTAGCTTGAACTCAAAAGAATCATTTTTGATCCCAGACTTTATGCGGCTCGGACGGAAAAGGCGGTTTGCTGTAGTCGTTGTCTTCATTGTGGAGCCCCAGTGCAGCGAGCCAGACTCCGCGGAGGAGGCGGGCTCCGACCTCTTGGCGCGCCTCTCCGACAAGGCGGCAGTGTCCCTGGGCTTCCGCACCGTGCCGCCACGGGATGCTGGTGATGCGAGGGGGAACGGTAGCAGAGGGGACAGTTTCGGGAGGGGGGTAATATTGACTCGGAGTCGGCGGTGCATCGCCGATGGACTGGCGATAGGCCCTCGATCATGACACTGCACGGTCCTGGGCGATTGGGGTCAATGCTCCCCCCTCCACTGGACCAGCTTCCTAGGGCAACTACCTTCACGCTTCGCGCTCCGCGAAGCGCGATATCTTCGCGCTTTCGCGCCGCACCACCCCGGGACCAGGATGAGGGACTCGCGCCTCGCTCTGAAATCGACCAGACCGCGACGCGCGACTAACTTCGCACCCTCGTGGTGGCCCTAGACTTCCCCCCCTGCCGCTTCCCCCGATGATGGCGCCGCCTCCCCGCTCTCCAACCTGATGATGGCATCTTCCGCATCGCCGGCCCCGCGCAAGTCCACGTACCCGTGCGGGCCGCAGCCAGCCTGTGGATGATACTCAGAACGTGCACTGGCGCCAGTGTGCGCTTGCCCACCGAGGTTCTGCAGTGCGACGCAGACGGTCCGAGGAGGGCAGGCACAGGCTGTGTGCCATCGGAGGAGCCGAGTGGGGCAGTCCGACGCACTGCGCCAAAACGCACGTCCCGAGGATCACCGAGCCTGGCCCGCACTGGCCATGGCCTGCGCCGCCTCGGGCTGCACCCTCGGGCTGCGGAGCGCGAGGGGGCCCTCGGAGGCCCTCGGCGGGCTCCGGGGCCGCCCGGGCGCTGCAGCGCACACCCGGGCCTCCAGCTCGGCGACCATCGCGGTGTGCTTCCAGAGCAGGTCCCTGGCCACGGCGGTGCGCTCCTCCAGCAGCGCCGAGCGCAGCCACTCGCACACGGCCTGGGCCCCCTCTGCGCGCCCGCGGCCCTCGGCGGGCTCCGTGGCGAGCGCCGCGGGCTCGCTCGCGCCGGGGGCTGTGCGGAGGTCGTCGGCAAAAGCCACGGAGCGGAAGGCACCCCTCCCTGCACGCCTGCGGTCCTCGACAGGGCTGAACCTAAACGGTGCTGTTCGTTTTCGTTTTGTTTTCGTTTTCCCCCGCTTTTGTATCCAATCCGCCTGTGCTGCAAAACGACATCGAAACGAAAACGGCCCACGAAATCACCAAAAGCACCGTTTAGGTCCTGCCCTGGTCCTCGATGGGCTCCGTGGCGAGCATCACCGGGTCGTCCTCGTCGGGAACGTTGTGCGGGCCGTTGGCAAAGGCCACGGAGGGGGTCGCCTGCCTCGGCGGCGGCCTGTCGGGGAACTCGACCACTTTCATGTCGGCCGCGACTTCGCTGGCCTCCATGGCCACGTGGTCCGAGGAACGCGGCGGGCCTGGCCTGCGGGGCCGCGGGGGTGGCGGAGAAGGCGGTATTCCGCAAGAGGCCTGAACCGCACCTGAACCAACATGGCTCGGGAGCATTCAGGGGCCCCGCGTGGCGGAATCGTGCCGCGACGACCTCGGCGCTGGTTTCCGACACCGAGCGGATCGCTCAGACTCGAACGGTCGCGGCTCCCCGATCGCACTGATCGTGCGACGGCGGTGGATCGCGGATCACTGGCGGCGTTCAACCTTGAGCGCCCGCGCTGGGGCCTCCGCTCGCGCATGCTTCCTCGTTTGTCCATTCGCCGCAGCCGCTGGCGCGAAACCGGCAGCTCCTGAACGAGTGCCCGAGCGCTGACGGAACAGCGAATGCTCTGGCTTCCGCTGCGCTGCCCTGAGCTTACCCTACTCATCCTGCTGCAACACTTCCGTGCCGACTGCTCCACGCATCGGCTGCCTTGGAACGGGGGCCGACGGGTCCCCTCTGGCCCCCATGGCCAGCTCGGGTCCCCGAGCCATGCGGGGTGGAGGAGGAGGAGGAGGAAGAGGAAGAGGACGAGGGGGAAGAGGAGGAGGAGGAGGAGGAGGAGGAGGAGGAGGAGGAGGAGAGCCGACAGCTCCAGACTGGATGAGCCTGGCGGGCTTTCGGCCTTCAAAGGGTTTGAAAAAGGAACCGCTCTTGTTGCTGCACTCCTCTTCTCCACTCTTCTTCCTTTCATGTCATCCTCCTCTCATCCTCCCTCCTGCTCCGTCTTCCTCCTTCTCCTTCTCATTTTTCCTTCAATCAGAATCCGCTTCCACAGAACCTGGCCAGGCGTTTTTTGTTTTGTTTTGTTCATTTTTGTTCCTCTGGTCTGGGAGCTCAGAAAAACTTGCAAGGCGTTTTTTTGTTGTTCTTTATTCTTCTTTTCTGGTCTGGGAGCTCAGAAAACCTGGCCAGGCGTTGGTTTTTCTGGTTCTTCTGGTCTGGGAGCCCACGGAACCTAGCCTGGAGGTTGGGGGCTTGCGAACTACTGCCGTCAGACCAGAAACATTATGCTAACGGAGTTCCCCACAGAAAGAGATTAACGGTTTCGTGGGACCCATTTTCTTGATGCCCTCCTCGCTTTGGCGGGGCCCCGCTGGAAGGGGGGATGGCTACGAAACCTGGCGAAGAGTAATGCTTTCCGCGACCCTCCTCGCTCAGGCGGGGCCTCCCTGGAGGGGTGGGAGGGGCACGAAACCATGTAAATAGTATGGTTGTCGGATACCCTCCTCGCTCAGGCGGGGCCTCCCTGGAGGGGTGGGAGGGGCCCGAAACCATGTAAATAGTATGGTTTTCCGATACCCTCCTCGCTCAGGCGGGGCCTCCCTGGAGGTGTGGGAGGGGCACGAAACCATGGAGAGGTGGGAGGGGCACGAAACCATGTAAATAGTATGGTTTTCGGATACCCTCCTCGCTCAGGCGGGGCCTCCCTGGAAGGGTGGGAGGGGCACGACACCATGTAAATAGTATGGTTTTCCGATACCCTCCTCGCTCAGGCGGGGCCTCCCTGGAGGGGTGGGAGGGGCACGAAACCATGTAAATAGTATGGTATTCCGATACCCTCCTCGCTCAGGCGGGGCCTCCCTGGAGGGGTGGGAGGGGCACGAAACCATGTAAATAGTATGGGATACCCTCCTCGCTCAGGCGGGGCCTCCCTGGAGGGGTGGGAGGGGCACGAAACCATGTAAATAGTATGGTTTCGGATACCCTCCTCGCTCAGGCGGGGCCTCCCTGGAGGGGTGGGAGGGGCACGAAACCATGTAAATAGTATGGTTTTCCGATACCCTCCTCGCTCAGGCGGGGCCTCCCTGGAGGGGTGGGAGGGGCACGAAACCATGTAAATAGTATGGTATTCCGATACCCTCCTCGCTCAGGCGGGGCCTCCCTGGAGGGGTGGGAGGGGCACGAAACCATGTAAATAGTATGGTTTCCGATACCCTCCTCGCTCAGGCGGGGCCTCCCTGGAAGGGTGGGAGGGGCACGAAACCATGTAAATAGTATGGTATTCCGATACCCTCCTCGCTCAGGCGGGGCCTCCCTGGAGGGGTGGGAGGGGCACGAAACCATGTAAGAGTATGGTTTTCGGTATGGAGTGGTATGGAATGGTATGGTAGGTATGGTATGGTACGGTATGGTATGATATGGTATGGTATGGTACTGGAGGTATGGTATGGTATGGTACGGTGTGGCATTGGTGTGATTTGGTATGGTATGCTATGGTACGCCATGGTATGGTATGGTACGGTATGGTACGTATGGTGTGGTATGGTATGGTATGGTATGGTATGGTATGTGTGGTAGGAACTATGGTATGGTATGGTGTGTGTGGTAGGAATAATATTGTGCTGTATGGAAGATGGAGCGGGAGGTGGGTGGGAAGGAGAGGGTGTTCTGGGAAAACAAGAACCCCACTCAGGATGTGGGGAAAAAGAAAAACAAAAAAAACAACGCCTGGCAAGGTTTTGTGAGCCCCCAAACCAGAAACACCAAACGCCTGGCCAGGTTTCGTGGGCTCCCAGACTACAAAAAACCAGAAACACCAACGCCTGGCCAGGTTTTGTGGAGCCCCCGACCAGAAGAAAAAACAGAAAAACCAACGCCTGGCCAGGTTTCTGAGCTCCCAGACCAACAAACAACAGAGAAACCAACGCCTGGCCAAGTTTCGTGGACTCCCAGACCATGCAGCAGGAGCAGGAGCAGGAGCAGGAGCCGGAGGAGGAGGAGGAGGAGGAGGAGGAGGAGGAGGAGGAGGAGGCCGCAGAACCTGGCCAGGCGTGTTTTTTTTTTTTTTTTTTTTTTTTTTTTTTTTTTTTTTTTTTTTTTTTTTTTCTGGTCTGGGAGCTCAGAAAACTTGGAACTTGGCCAGGCGTTGGCTTTTTTTTGTTTTTGTTTTTTGTTTTCTGGTCTGGGAGCTCGGAAAACCTGGTCAGGCGTTTTTTTTTGGGGGGGGGGTTCTGAGTTCAGAAAACCTGGCCAGGCGTTGGTTTTTATGTTATGTTTTTTATTATTATTTGTTTTCTGGTCTGGGAGCTCAGAAAACCTGGCCAGGCGTTGGTTTTTCTGGTTCTTCTGGTCTGGGAGCCCACGAAACCTAACCTGGAGGTTGGGGGCTTGCGAACTACTGCCGTCAGACCAAACCAGAAAAACACAAAAAAATATAGCCAGAGTGCAATATCCCCAAACAGGGTTTTTAGACCCACTGCGGTTTCCAAGGTCGATTGCGTGCCCGTCCAGTGCGGGCTGGCATGGCATGTTAAAACATGCCTCCTCCTCCTCCTCCTCCTCCTCCTCCTCCTCCTCCTCGTCCACCTCCTCTTCATCCCGAAAGGCATCTCGGAGCCCAGAGTTGTGAGGATGTCTCCAGCGTAACGGGCTGGACCACCTCGCGCGCGGCATCTCGGACCCCAGAGTTGCGACGATGTCTCGGGCGAAACGTGGTGCGAGGAAGTCTCAGGCGAAACGGGCCGGACCACCTCGAGCGCGGCGTCTCAGAGCTCCGAGTTGCGGGGGTCTCCTGGGGCCTCCTGGGGCCTCCTCGGGACCTCCTGGGGCTTCCTCCTGGGCCTCCTGTGGCCTCCTAAACTCCACCTGGGGTTTCCTGAAGCGTCTTGGGGCTCCCAGGGGGGATATCTAACCTGTGGCCGCTTGGACCCCTCAAAACACAGGGGGGGGCCACAAGAGCAGGAAAAATCAACGAATCGACACCGGATGTGAATTAACTTGACACGTTCTGGTAGGGGGCCTCCTGGGGCCTCCTGGGAGCCTCCTGGGAACATCTCGGAGCCCAGAGTTGCGAGGATGTCTCCAGCGTAACGGGCTGGACCACCTCGCGCGCGGCATCTCGGACCCCAGAGTTGCGACGACTCGGGCGAAACGTGGTGCGAGGAAGTCTCAGGCGAAACGGGCCGGACCACCTCGAGCGCGGCGTCTCAGAGCTCCGAGTTGCGGGGGTCTCCTGGGGCCTCCTGGGGCCTCCTCGGGACCTCCTGGGGCTTCCTCCTGGGCCTCCTGTGGCCTCCTGAACTCCACCTGGGGTTTCCTGAAGCGTCTTGGGGCTCCCAGGGTGGATATCAAACCTGTGGCCGTTTGGGCCTCTCCAAATGGAGGGGGGGGCACAAGAGCAGGAAGAATCAACGAATCGACACCAGATGTGCATTAACTTGACACGTTCTGAGAGGCGGCCTCCTGGGGCCTCCTGGGAGCCTCCTGGGAATCTCCTGGAGACCCCTGGGGCCTGTCCTGGGCGTCCTGCGGCCTCCTGGTGCCTCCTGGGGCCTCCTGGGGACCTCCTGGAGCTTCCTCCTGGGCCTCCTGTGGCCTCGTGAACTCCACCTGAGGTTTCCTGAAGCATCTTGGGGCTCCCAGGGGGGATATCTAACCTGTGGCCGCTTGGGCCCCTCAAAATGGAGGGGGGGGCACAAGAGCAGGAAAAATCAACGAATCGACACCGGATGTGTATTAACTTGACACGTTCTGATAGAGGGCCTCCTGGGGCCTCCTGGGAGCCTCCTGGGAATCTCCTGGGGGCCCCTGGGGCCTGTCCTGGGCGTCCTGCGGCCTCCTGGACCTCTCTGGGGCCTCCTGAGGCTCGCAGGGTCCCATGGAGGATATGTAACATGTGGTCTTCTGGGCGCCCAGGCTGGACCACCTCTCGCGCAGCATCTGAGAGCTCAGAGTTGCGAGAATGTCTTGTGCGAAACAAGCCGGACCACCTTGCGCACGGCATCTCAGAGCTCAGAGTTGCAAGGATGTCTCAGGCGAGACGGGCCGGACCACCTCGCGCAGGGCATCTCAGAGCTCAGAAGTTCGAGGATGTCTCAGGCGAAACGGGCCGGACCACCTCTCGCGCGGCATCTCCGAAGTCAGAGTTTCGAGGATGTCTCAGGCGAAACGGGCCGGACCACCTCGCGCAAGGCATCGCAGAGCTCAGAGTTTCGAGGATGTCTCAGGCGAAACG